CCAGCCATAACAGAAAGCAGAAGACATATTACTCAATTTGTAAACTAAAACTAAGTGGTTGTCTGCTTTCATGAACTGGTCCAATTTGATCACAGGTCTTCAGATTAGTCTCACCGTAAAAAAAATACCCTTCACTTACCGGGTCTTCAATCGCGGCCTCTCCCTCTTCTAACCCCGGTTCTTCGTCACCGACACCCGGATCTTCGAGCTCTGGATGTCCAGGATCTGAATCTAGTAAGGATTCCTCTGCCAGTCCGTTACCGAACTCCGCCATCGCACTGATCCAATCGACCGCTCCTCGTGGTCAAACCAACACTGTAGGCCCCAACTCACGCACTGGTAACGTTATGGGGCGGCGGTATCGCCGCTTAGTAAAGTTAAAATGGGGAATGAAGTGCTAGATACTGTTCCAGCTACTACTCAAACAGCGTACCACAATTAACAGGGTCTGCTGTTTAACTCACCGCTTTAAGATTATGGCCCTACTTTATTTACTAAAACGTGTATATAAAAAGGCGAGGACTCGGCGACACCGCTTCTTCACTTCAGAAATGGAAGCAGAGGGCGGAACCTTGTAGCAGTGCAGCCTCTAAACTCTAAATTCTATTCGTCAGTGGATAATCACCACAACGGCTCTAATACCGCGTTCCTATTGGGCAATCCAGCAGCACGTTCCAGTTCCCAAATCGAATGAGAGGATTACGCTTCTGTCAATCAATTCTCTGCCGGTCAGAGCCAAAAATTGAATAAATTAATTCGAGACATATACACGCACCGGCCACTTTATTAGATACATCTGTGCATTTGTTTGTCATTCAATGCAATACTCCTGCTTTAACATCTGTGTTTATGAAGCTCAAAATGTCTCAGTTTTGATTAAATGTCATAAATGTATAAATTCAATTATGATTATTATTGAGGTCATAGTTAAAAGTGGTGTTGTACTGGACTACATCCAAAAACACAGATGTTGAGTGCATTTCAATGTGTAACATAAACTGTGTTCCCCAGGGAAACCTTTATTTAATTAAAACATCTGATTACATGAAGAATTTATGCCATTGTCAAACTCAAAAAATGGGTGTGTTCCAAACCCCAACCGGCACTGTGCTGTTTGTGCCAGGTGGGCATGGGTTCCTTTCCATTTAAATTCAGCACATAAAACGACACATGCCTCTTGTGCCGACCTGAAGTCACAGCAAATTGAGGCACATGAACAAAAGAAGATGTGGAGTCAGAGAGAACAGTGAACTGCGTCCCAAAGCATTTAAATTTATGAATAAGAAACTCTGCAGTAGGTATATTTGAATCATGCTGAGCTTGACAATTCATTACTTGACCTAGATTGTGTTAAATTATGATTGAATACAATTTAAACCATAAAATCAGATTTTATATTGGGATGATGTCCTGTATCTGGGCTCTCTGGGGCAGTAGTTAGTGATGTAGGCTATTCACTTCATGTTTAAAAGCAGAGACATCATGTTGCTTAATATGCGGGAATAGCCTGTTTTCTGGAATTTCCATTATTAGCATCACATCACCTTTTCTGTGCCTCCTGCATTCCATTTAAACAAGTTCCCTGCCCTTGATACTATGTAACAAGTGGCTTGCCATCATGGGCAAATGGAACACAACCAGAAATAGTAACTGGTGTGTGGCTGGGTTGGCCAGAGGTGGCACAGCCACCCAAAATATGATTGGCCATCCCAACTTCCTGTTGATTTTTGTGTCAACCAGCCATGGTGAACTCAACAGCTGTGCATGGTTGATAAAGCTTATAGTTAGGGGTGGCTCAGGTGACCAATGCTACTATAGGCCTAGACTGCTGGGGGGCCCATGATGCTCTGAGTTTCTCTCCTCTCCTGTCCTATCTCTCCTCTGCTCTCCTCTCCTGTCCTGTCCTGTCCTATCTCTCCTCTCCTCTCCTCTCACTTCCCCCCCGTTCACTCCTCGCTCCCTTATCTGTCCTGTCCTATCTCTCCTCTGCTCTCCTCTCCTGTCCTATCTGTCCTCTGCTCTCCTTTCCTCTCCTGTCCTATCTGTCCTGTGCTCTCCTCTCCTCTCCTGTCCTATCTGTCCTTTGTTCTCCTCTCCTCTCCTGTCCTATCTCCCCTCTGCTCTCCTCTCCTGTCCCATCTCTCCTCTCTCCATGCATCTATATGCCAGCATTACATCTCATTGTGTGGATGCTATAAAGCATCCACACTATGCTCTCCTGTTCTTTATTTATTATTCTGGGATCTTCCACCCTTTTTTGGCACTTTATAAGTCCAGCATACTTTCAGCTATACAAGCCATTGAGATCTTGATCTGTTCAACTCTTCAAGGACATCCCTGCTTGTACTCAACTTTTTTATAACATTTATAATTTTTAATCTATTCAGCTTTATATTTTGCAATATAATGTCTTCACTTCTCGTGCTTCCAACAAAAGAATTTGGTTAATTTCTAACAGTCCTATTGGACTATTTTCACATCTTAATAGGTTCAGCATACCGTCAGGTAGAAAAGCCATTCAGGTATCAAAATGTTCAGCTTTTCAAGGCCATTCCTACTTTATTGAATCACATCCTTCAGATTATTCAACAAAGAACTTCAGCCATTTCTTCTCATTTTTCAGGTGTTTCAGCAATTGATTTCAGGCATTTTCAGGACAATCTTTCATCTTCTATTAGCATTTCCTGTCGAAAATGCATTTCTCTAGTTATTATTGTGTGGAAGCATCCACACTATGTTATCCTGTTCTTTATTATGATTATTCTGATTTCTTCCGTTCGTTTTTCGGCACTTAATTTCTTCAGCATACTTTCAGCTACAAAAGCCATGAAGTTATCATAATGTTCAACTCTTTAAGGACATTCATGCTTGTATTTTTATTGTTTGTAACATTTATACTTCTTAACATATTTAGCTTTTTTCAGCAGATTTTGCCCCATTCAAATGAATGGGAAAAATTTTCACATCTTACTATCT